TGTGTGTGTGCGTGTCGTGTCGTGTCGTGTCGTGAGGACACGCACACAAGGACGAGGCAATAGTTGGGAAGAGAGAGATTACTGCGAGCGCGAATTCCTGACTCACGGTGCTCAACGCGGCAAATACGACGCTGAGCGCATCGTCTTCGTAGTTGAGGATGACGATGGGATCCGCCGGCAGGAGGTCCCCGAGCTCCGGGTTGAGCTCCTGGATGGCGGTGTCGTTCCACGTGTCGATGGTGCCCAGCAGGATGTCGGCCAGCACGGTGAGATTGAGCAAAAGCGAGCCCTGTCCGACCAGCTCCGGCAGCTGGGCGGCGGTGGAGAGACAGCAGCGCGACGTTGAGGAAAAAGGCTGGAGTGAGAATCATTGCAGCTTTTGTGCTCAAATTGAGCAGAGTCAGCTCGACAGGCGTACGTTGTAGGCCACGCCGACGGGGACCATTGTGAATGGAATGCTTGGCACGTCGCCCAGCAGCTCCGACTCGTCGTTGGTGAGCGGGCGAGCAGTGATGCCAAAGTCAATGTTGTCTGCATCACGCAGCGGCAGGTCAGTAAGTTGACCCACCACCACCACGACACGAGACACGGGGATGGGTACAGCGACTGAGGTCGGTGATGGTGGACTCAGCGTCAAAACCGCGGAAGTAGTACACCTCCTGCGGCCACGAGGAGAAGGAGATGGTGCGAACACCGGTGCCGATCAACAGAGCACTGTCGAAGACCTTCTCGCCATTGCACGCCACCTTCTGGAAATTGTTGATCAATTTCCTGGTAACAGAGCCACGGGGTAAGTCACGCGATCGTGTGTGTCTTGTGTGTGTCTTGTGTGTGTGTGTGTGTGTGTGCGTGCGTGCGTGCGTGCGTGCGTGCGTGCGTGCGTGCGTGCGTGCGTGCGTGTGCGTGTGTGTGAGAGAGAGTGCGTGTGTCAAAATGGAAGAGGTACGCTTTGAAGCTCAGACTGAGAGGGGCGTATCCCAGCTCGCGGCTCTTGGTCACGGCCATGGGCGTGAGCTGCGTCCAGGCCGTGAAGTACAGCAGCGAATTGATCCCGAGGCAATCCGAAGTCGACGCGTTGCTGCGCACCGCCAGATAGTGCAGCATGCACATGGGCCAGGAACCGCGTTGCTGGCCATTGGCCACGTTGATGGTCATGCTGTCCGTGAGCTTTTCGCTCACTTCGCTGATGGCCGACTCCACGGCCTTGACCGTGGGCCACACAACCGCTCCTGTTCTCCCCTTTCATCAGCTTCAACCACACGACACACGACACACGACACACGACACACGACACACGACACACGACACACGACACACGTACCTGCGCTGTTTCGCATGAGAGCGTAGTCGACGCCGGTCTTCTGAGCCCGGTCGAATGTGGAGTAGCTGAGGCTGTACGGCGTATCACGCACGAAGGGCGACAGCGTGCCACTGTCCGAAAACTCGATTGCGCGGCCCGCGATGCCGGTGAGCTGCGGCCACCGGCTCGTGTCCTGGGAGCCGTCGCCCGACCACGCCGCCCGGAACCGTCCATCGAGTATGGAGAGCGCGTTGGTGAAGCTGTGCGTGATGCCGCCCGGCCGATCCGCCCCGTGGCCCAGCCGGATGGGCTCCGCCGGCAGCGCGATGTTGGGGTTGAGCGCGACGATTGCCGGGTCGTTCCACCAGGTCACGTCGCCCAGCCAGATGGCCGCCAGGGTCGCGCCGTCGAGGACCTGCTCGGCGGTCAGCAATTGTTTGCATTTTCGTATTCGTTCCGTTTTTGTTTTGTTTTCGTTTGGAGTGGAGGAGCCCCGCACCAGAGGTGTAGCGGGGCGACTACTGCCGAGGTTGTAGATGGCGACCAGCGGCTGACCGGCCAGCGGAAACTGAGCGATGGAGTTGTTGGCGAGAAGTGTCTCGTGTAGGGGTGCATCCACCACGGCAAAGTCCTGTGCCATTACACACGATACACGCGATACACACGCCACACACCACACACCACACACACACACACACGACACACACACACACACACACACACACACACACACACACACACGCACATAGTTACGCGTCCATCAAGGGCTCCGCAGTGGTCGGGGCGGCGTACGAGGTCGGGCTTGGCCATGAGGAACAGGAGCGAGTGGGAGGCCCCGCCGTAGGTGCACACGATGGCGTCATCTCGCCGTACCAACTGGGCGTGGGCCAAAAAAAAAGTGAGTAGAGGCTCGCTGCAGCGTCTCTACACAGCGTAGCATGGACGTACCTGGAAGGACTCTGTGAAGTAGTCCATGTAGGGCTGCGTGAAGATGCTCCCTCCCCCGTAGATCTGCGTAGAGGCTGCAGACAACCACTGAATCAATAATAAATAAAGAAAAATAACCAAATAAATAAATGGGAGAAAGAACATGATGATAGGGGAGGGAAAGACACTCGTACCTTCCTGCTGTACGCATGGAGTGGGCAGGCTCAAGGCGAGGACGAACGCGAAGAGAAGGTGTCGCAGGAACCCGCTCATCGCATCGAAGTGCCAATTTGAAATTGAGCGAGAGATTGAGTTGATTGCCGCAGTAGAGATGGAGATGAATTTGGTAAATAAAGAAAATCTTCCGCAGCGATGAGGGGTGATGGTTCAATCAAGAAGTCTACAAGGTGAGAGCGCCGCCCCTCTCAACTTTATGGCAATACTTGAATTGTTACGTCAAAACAGGAAACGCGTCCCTTTGTTCCGCCACTTACCTAATTTGAGTCACCATTTCCTTTTTCACATGAAAAACACACACACACACACACACCACACACACACACACACACACACACACGACACACACCACACACCACACATACAGTGGCTGAGAAGTGAGTACTTTGTTACGATGAAGTGAAGACGCGGAGGCGCCAATGGCGGAGCGGCTTCAGGCCCTTGGGTGGAAAAAGCTGCTGGTCGAGGCACAGCGCTACCATGGCGCCCGCGTGCGGCAGGAGCGCGAGCGAAGTCACATTGCGCGATGTGTCGCACTCGTTTGGCTTGGCCGGAATCTCTGCACACGCCAGTAGGTCGCGCAATCTGTGCACCACCAGCGTCGGGGCCACCGTTACCCTGCGCTTATGTCCTACCTGTGTGCCCGTGTGTCGTGTCGTGTTGTGTCGTCGCGAGCGCGTGTGGTTTGTGATGAGTAGATCAGCAGCATTGTGCATTACGCCAGGCAATCTCCGAAGCGTACCCCGTCCATGGAGGTGACCAAGCGCTGGCTGAAGCCGTGCGAAACGCATTAGAACCCCATATATGAATTATAACAA